TCTGCACTATCGAATCCTCATTCGGTATCCAAATTCTCCTAAAAAGAGTACAACAGTGAATACATATCCTAAAAGAGCGAATTATTTAAAAAGTTGAAGCATGAATAAAGTATACTGTCTTAAGTAACGTAATTCAATTTGAGAATATAACGCAGATAATTAATAAGTTCAACAAACAAACCTCCTAAAAATGACAATCACAAGGAACAAACCTTGATCAAGTTGAATTGAAACGCACCTTGAAAATGTAAGTTCACAAGCAGTAAAGCATATATTGGTTGGGAAATTAACAGCTCTCAGTTCCACAGTTCCTAACTGAAAACCCGCAAGACGAAAATACAAAATACTTGATATACATTACCATAACAATTGAAACTCGCTTTTCCTTCAATAAAACTTTGTCCACCGCCCTGAGGCGTCCTCATTTCAGAAGGCAATTCTGATCCCTTCACTGAGGCCTTCTAATGACGTCCATCTCCTTGCCTCGATTTACGGCGCCTGTTTTTTCTTGCAAGATTTTACGGGGCATTCCCTGCCGTAATTAAACGACGCGCTAGGAAACCTGCAATCTGTTTTTCGTGGCAGACAAACGGAGCTTGGCGCTTTCAGGATTTTTTGCAAAGCCTTGCGTTATTCGGCATGTGGAGGCTTTCAGTGGGTGTGAAAATTTTTGATTTTCATTGCATGGAATTTTAATTGATTCTTTGAATTACTTGGGTAACTTTATTACAGGACTATTAAGTTTTTGATTAAAATTAATAAATATTAATTATGTTTGGTCTGAATTGACTTGATAATTTTCAACAAGTTAACCGCAAATTTCATTAAATGCGGTTGCGTTGGCGCTCCCTGCAAGGCTTGTTTCAGAATTCGTCAGTTGTAGAAGAATGTTTCAATATTTATTTCCCATACGCGTGGGACTGCGGGGCAGGCTCTTGAAAGCAACTTATTTAAAAGCGTTGCTTTGGTGCTTATTTCTTTTCTTTGAAGAAGGAAAAGTTTGCCTTGAGCAAACACTTGCACGGAGAAGAGAAAAGAGGCCTCGGAATGCTGCTTTGCACTTCGTTTCAAGCCCAACACGACGCTAACTTGAGGCAAAGCGATGAGAATTATTAGACCTCATCACTAAAGTGAACATGTTTAGAAATAAAGGAACGATTCTTATTGACGTCTGAGCGATGACATGCGATTGAATACTCAAAAAATTTCAATTAATTTATATTTAATCTCAATTCAATATGAAGCTACCTCTTTTATAACTTTCTCTGAGATTTTTACTTTATGGAACTCATTTTGTGTCATTGTTTACTCCCATCTGACTTCGTCTAACTCTTTAGAAATTTTGCTCCGGTGCATTAACTACATAAACTCTTGATGCGTCCAAAACTACGAACTTATCAGATTGATTAAATTTTAAGTTAAATTCTAATTAACTTTCAGGATCATTCCTGCTAACATTGATCGCTTGCTCGCATATGTTTCTAATTTATATATTCATGTAGTTTGTTCGAATTTCGAACAAATCTGTGCAAAGCGTATTTTATTCTTTTGCGTGTGTGTGTGTGTGTGTGACAATGGAATGCGAAATCGTATTTGTGGGTATGAACTTACCGTCTCTTTTGTACATTATTGCGTTAGGAGTGAAATTGGACTGCTTGCATATATTCGGCGCGACAGTTTGTGATGAGCGGTCACCATTGGCTGCCGTCATCCAACCTCGCGCAGTCGGCGCACGTACAGCAAACAACACTCAACAAATTGATGTTGAGTTTAGATAACCTGTCGGGTAAGATTTCATTTTCTTTAATGTAAGATTTCATTTTCTTGGTTTAATAGCCGCTGCAGAATTTGGATCCTTGCTGCAGTTAATAAGTTTCCCAGCTGCAGCTAAAAAGTTTTAGTGCTGCAGTTATTGAGTTTCCTAGTTGCAGTTAATAAGTATCCTAGCTGCAGTTTATAAATTTCCTAGCTGCAGTTAATCAGTTTCCTAGCTGCAGTTTATAAGTTTCCTAACTGCAGTTAAATAGGTTTCCTAGCTGCAGGTAAATAAGTTTCCTAGCTGCAGTTAATCAGTTTGCTAGCTGCAGTTAATCAGTTTCCTAACTGCTGTTGAAAAGATTAGTTCGTTTTAGTTTAATTGATTTTAAGCTGCAGTTAAAAGATTTTTAACTGCGGTTGAATAGGTTGCATAACTGCCGCAGAATAGATTTGACGTAGCACTTGAATTGGTTTTCCAACTACAGGTGGTTTGGTTCTACTACTACTTGAATTGGTTTTCCAATGCCATTTAAGCATCGAAATTCCAAGGCTTTGGTGGCTTTCTAAGTTCCGAAGTTATCCTACAAATCAAAATCCTTCCCACCGAGAGCTGTGCCGGTAAAAAGTGGCAGGGCGCGTCTCACACGTTATTGGAAACTGAAATTCTATTTGGAAATGAAATTCTTGAGCTTGAATTTATCAACATGGTACAGCTATGCGTATTCCTTATCTTGTTTTCTGCCGTTAATGTCTCTTACTTCGGCTCCAAAATATTATTATTTTAGCGATTTCTCAGGAACTGCGTTTGTTTCCTAAAACTAAACTTTATTACTCTTATTTTAAATTTTCCTGCGTAAGTCCTTACTTCATCATTTATCGACGTTGTAGATTCAACAAACTCAAGACGCATCGATCGTTTTAGTGAACAAATAAAATCAAAATCGCTACTTGTGTCCTAAATTAGGGAACCTCACCCATCTCAAGAGTACTTGCTCCAGTGTGTCCCAGCAGAGCAATTTTTCATTTATTTGCAATGTGCGCATGATTTTTTTGTTATTAATTGTTGGCATCACTGAGAGAAATGTACATAAAAATCTTTCACTATAGAATAAATAGTCTTTGGTTTATGGATAATGAGAGGCGTAGCCTAGTCAGTGTATGGCAGGGATGCGCGCAACAGGTGTTGTGGTCTGCAAAGGTTGGGCCCCCCTTTGCTGAGCCCCCTTATCGATTTACGATAAGACACGTAGCTAGTGAGAGACGACGCAGGGCACGTTGCCCGATGGCCAGAGTAACGGATGCCTACCGTGGAGGTCTAGTAGAATAGAATAGAAGTGTCGGCGTTGAAGAACTAGGCCCATGGCCTGTTGCCGATTCTTGAACTTTTCGTGACTTGATTCACAAGGGATCCGGCCTTTGGAACCCGATCTTTCCATAGCTGACGATTGATTGAGATAGCGCTCCGATTAGATGACGCGAGACTTCTTGAACCTTAACACGGAAAAATATCAAAATATCGAACGTCCACCTTGAAGATTAGTGGATGAGGTGAGAATTGTTGAACCTACGACGAAAAAAGTATATGATATCTACCCTGAAGGTCCGGTAGATGACGCATAACTTCTTGAATCTAGCAGTGAAAAAGTATCGAACGTCTACAACTCTACATTAAAGGACCATCATATGACGCAAGAACCTCATTGGCTTGTTCCGATGAAAAATCTAGTAATCATATTATCGGGTTGAAGAATTTTCAAAAGCTTCGAATTCGATCTTAAGCAAATATTATGAAAATACGTGGTGGCAAATTCGATCAATCTAGTCTTAATTTTTTCTGGTAATTTTTAATTTTTTTTGCAAATTATCTAAATCTAAAAATAATCAAAATGACTCCTTCAAACGATTGTTCTACACCCAAGGTTTCTCTTCATGGGAGTTTTTCTCTCATGCTTGTCGTCTGCGTAGCGAGGTTACCGTATTATTCTTCCCGTCGAAGCTTTCCCCAGCAATTTTTCCTGGACGTGAATTGATGCGGTAGTCGCGAAGCACTTCCTGGTCATGAAAGGTTGCCTCTCTAGCCTAAATAATTTTTTTTTGCTAAAGTTCCGCTATTATAAAAAATTACCTATTATACTTGTGGTGTTCAGATTGGTGATAATTGTTTGGGAAATTTTATCGACTTCGGGGATATTATACAGGTTTATGGTGGAATTTTCCACCAATATTTTCACGACATTATAGTTTCCATTCGGAATCGTATCTGTCTCCCTAGCAATGAGTGATGATGATCAATGATGAACTGAAAAAATCCGGGTAAAACAATAGGCATTAGCAGTTATTTTTCGGGATTTGACTTTATTATTTACAACGCCATAATTTGGACTCCTGCTATAGTTACGTTCCTTCAGTTCCTTCGTGCCGGTTTGAAACATTTCTATTGCCCAACTGGAGAGAAATAACAATCAAGACTCAAGACGATATAATAGAAGCTTGAAAAATTAAATGACTGAGCAGAATCAACTTACTTTCGTGTACTCTGTATATTTCCTGTTACTCGCCGAAATTGTTTTTGTGAGGCAAAATTTCTGGCGGAAATCACTTGAGTTTAGTTTGCTCGATACGTGACCCACTTTGGCTTCCGGTTCCGCGGATATTCGCAAGGCGGAAGTCTTGGGAATTTCTCAAAATTACCGCTGCCTGGGCTGGGGGATTTTTTGAAATGGAACTCTGAGAGGAACAAAAGAGGACAACACTCTTTCTACTCTTTGGTGGTGTCAATCTTGTGCTCGAAGTGAGCCAGCGACGATTTATAATGTAGAACAAATGTTTAAAAGAAATCTTTGTATACCGTGAGCAAGGAAAAGACGAATTTTTTGGAAAGAAGAACAGAATAATTTTTTTTTTTCAACATTCAAGATTTTTAGAGTGCGGGTCCTTCGCTGGGGTTTGCACGGGCTGTGCAACATTTTCTCAAAAAACTTCTTTGTCATAACATCCTTTGAACATAAAATATTCATAAAAATGAAAACAGACACTCTGAATTGCAGATGTGTTCTAAATTTCACACAAAAAAATATGATCTCTCTGGTCATGTACCGATTAATAACTCAAATGCTCTACACAAAAACAATTTTCAACTCATTCCTTACACGAATATGATTCAAAAATATAATTATCTAACTCGCCTCTCACATTATTCAAGTCACAAAATTAACGCATCAACAAAATTATTTCTTGAACAGGAAGAGCGACAACGATGGCCAGTGCTTGACTGCGATGCGTAAGCTGCACCCGAGCTGCGCTGAGCGTCACACTGGCACCGACCCTCAGCAGTGCCATGAGATTGCCAAGCAGTGTCGCACCAGTGACACTTGCAGGTAAAATTATTGCAAATATTATAGATGAATTTCACTTTAATAACAGTTACAAATCATTTAATATTAAATGGTATATAACAATGGTATTTTCTTCGTCATGTATCCATAAGCTTGCCAAGCGGTCGTGTTCCACTGACGCCTCCAGCACACCACGCTATGAGCTTCCATTCTCTTGGCTCACGAAAAACTCACGTATCGTATTAATTAATAAACGTCTATTGTAACCCTGGGAACTTGAACTTTTAATACAATCGAATTTCACAATTTTTGAACAATTAACGCGTGTACTACAACAATCGGTCATCATTCATGATCAGAAACGCATAAATCATGCAATGTCAACAAAAATCAGTTTACAACTCTCATGATCGAAATTTAAGTGAGATGGAAACAAATCTTATATTGCCTCCGACCGTAAGTTAGGCATGTATAAACAAGAAAACCATCCGACTTAAATTGATAATTCACATCAAATGAAACGTACTCTAATGTCTGCCATTATTCTATAGATTTTCTAATCAAATATAGTTAGTGACTTCTTTGCAGTATGTGAACTTCAAATAATTCAATTTTTTGCCATCGTGTTCGTTCTTATTCAGTTCACAGAAACTAACTGTGCCAATAAGATCGTAGATTTCTCTTTGTATCTCCACAAATCGGTGGCTATTGAGCGCAATTTGATTTCTTTGTTATCCTCCTTGTGGATAATTTATTGGCCCATTGACCTTCTTGCTTGTCTATTGTTCTGCTTTGAAAAAGAGGTCCCGTATGAGAAATATGGTTGTCAACCGGCATCATAGTATATACAGCACTGGGTGTGGAATTGCCATAGAATATTAAATAATTACAAAAAGACGATTGAAGCTGAATTCACAAATCGGTATCAGATTTTCATGTTTTCGCGAAGACAAGCTAACATCACAGTATTAGTAATTAGTCAAAATTTTATTAATTCTTTTTTGTTTTAATGCTCAAGATGGCCTTACTTGCCTATATAATAATAACCATGCAAACACGAGACGCTTCATCTGTGTTTATTTCAGACATAAACTTGAAACACTCCATCTGTGTTTTATTCCAGGCACACACAAGAGACGCTCCATCTTTGTTTCATTCCAGGCACAAACTTGAGACGCTCCATCTTTGTTTCATTCCAGGCGCAAACTCGAGACACTCCATCTGTGTTTTATTCCAGGCACACACATGAGACACTCCATCTGTGTTTATTCCAGACATAAACTTGAGACACTCCATCTGTGTTTTATTCCAGGCACACAATAGAGACGCTCCATCTTTGTTTCATTCCAGGCACAAACTTGAGACGCTGCATCTGTGTTTATTTCAGGCATAAACTTGAGACGTACGAACGGGACTGCGCAGTGGACGCTATCACAGGCCAGTGTGCGGGATCTCTCCGCGACTGCCAACACGCCGTCATCAAAATCCTCGGCACGGAACTTCATGCTTCGTGTGTCTGTAAAGGCACCGACTTTCTGCAGCAGCAACAAGACTGCGACTCTTGGCATAAACTTCTTTGGTCCAACCCGTGTGTCAGTAAGTGACGGCAGCGTTGCTTGGCATAAACTTCTTTGGTCCAACCCGTGTGTCAGTAAGTGACGGCAGCGTTACTTGGCATAAACTTCTTTGGTCCAACCCGTGTGTCAGTAAGTGACGGCCGCGTTAACTTTGCGCATTGGGTGACAAGAGGACGAAAGGCTCTTAGGCTGGTCACAAATGATGGAACTAATTTTTTGACTAGCTAGTTATAAAAACTTTGTAAAATCTCCATTTTTTCGTTTAATCTAAGTATTTTAATACAATTTTTAAAATAAGACTTGATTTGCCATCCACGTTTCTTTAATTTTTATATTCATCACTTTGACAACTCTGGCTTGGCTATAAGAGAATCGGGTGAAGAGAAATCAACTGAAACACTGGACTCTAATATACACTGCACTGATATCATTATCAGAAATCATTAAGGCATGATGTAGCACTACAATTCCGTTTGCATTTCCGAGAGAAGAAATGGAATCGTGCCATTAAGATCTGTTCGGAAATTTATTTTGATGAAAAATTGTTTGTTTGAGTGAAGTGCCTGATATAAATTATTCAACAACAACGTTACTCTACCTACAGTCGAGTCTCATCTGAAGTTGAGGGAGGAGATCAGAAATGGAGAAGACTTGGACGAAGTGTTCACGCGTGCTCCACAGACCACGTCCACTCCTTACTCCACGTCCACCTCCACCATGGCCGCCGAGATGGACAGCGGCTACGTTGAAAATGGCTACATGTACCCTGGAGGCCCGGATCCAATGGGCATGGACCCATATCGAGGTTCCTCGAGCAGTTAATTAATCTATAACTCGTTTTCAATCTCTATGGAATTTTTAACCTCATTAAGATTAGTCAGTAGTGGTTCATGAAGCTAACTTTGCGATTTAATATTCTTTAACCTGAATGAATTCCTTTAGGCCGAGGAGTTGGAGTCGTGGGGAATCGGAACCGAGCTCCGGGATTAGACATGTCCCCGGCTGGAAGGCTCCCGGGAGGCGGGACCGTAGTTGGTGTCGGCGGTAGCAGCGGAGGCTACAGGCACGTCGGTCCCGGTCAGATTTTTGGACGTACAGGAACAGGAGGCCTCATCGTTCCTCCAGCCGATGGGAAGCCTTTGGGAAACCATGGACCTTCCCGCAGGGAACACGGCCGTCGACAGAATGGTATTTTGAAGCCCGGGGCTGACATTGCAGGAGACCCACGACGCATGAACCCTTCTCTTGGAGCAATCGACACCGCACCCAATGTGCCCATCTACGACCGACTTAATGGCAACGGTGGCGACGACCTCCTGGGACCTGGCGGCAACCTGTCAGATTTGGCCCAAGGTTTGTCATATAACGTTATAATTATATAACGATGTAACTATGGTATATAATTATAATTATATAACGTTATAATTATATAACGATGTAACATATAACGATATAACTATGGTCTGGATGATGATGAGATTGTGATGTATGGATTGGGATGAAAGCCACTGCTTCTCTTCTGTGGATTAACGACACCAATCCTCATTGTATCCATTCTATTTCTGCGTCTTTCTACCTGTACGCCACCAATGTATTTTCTTATGTCTTTAATGGAATGGTTGATTTATCCTATTGTTGCGAGTTATGTGTTCCTATGCCTAAAAAAAATATAAACATTCTATACGTACATGAGGAAACTATTATTTCGTGATTAAATTTAATAAATTTAGACCAATTTGCCTTATTGTAGTCTACTCTTATATCATTGTTCATTTTTTTCTTCATTTGTTTTTTTTTTATAGCAGCGCGTATGCCAGTTTAGCATGTACTGCATCTGTATGGTACTGCACAGCAGTACGTACCTTATGTTTATGTTAGCTGTAACACAAATGCATCATCATGGTACAAATCAGCTGCACCTGCTACACAAGTAATTAGCTGCCGCGACGACAGAAATTGCGGCCGCACCGTGCAACCCTTAAAGGTGCCTCGCTAGCCAACGCTGCTGCTGGTGCTGCTGCTGCTGCTGACTGCTGATGCCCGTACTGCTAATGCCCGTACTGCTGATGCCCGTGCTGCTGATGCCCGTGCTGCTGTTGCTATTCGTTAGGAGATAAAAAGATTATGGTACTGCCCTATTTTCGCGCATATGTCAATGAGACTCGAGTTTCACCCGCCTCAGCACTAGAGCTCGTTTGAGGGCTGCGCCGTTCCAAGTTATGCCATTGAAGGCTTACGGAGTTCACAATAAAGTCCCACTGTCGACATTAACGTGTTTAATGGAGTCCCTGAGCAACATTTAATAACGGTATATGTTACAGTGGAAAGCTGCTACATGGAAGAAGATGGGGGTAAACCTGGCAAGACCTTCGTAATTCCTGTCAACACATCCCGAAGAGTGAGTAGATAGATGTGTTATGTGTAAAATTAGAGTATTGTAGTATAATTAGATCAGTATAATTATGACTTGGTTTTTTCAATCACTGGACTGTATAGGTATCGTTCAAAATAAGCAGACTGACAAGGATCATATAAATAGTTGTGTGAGCATATGCATGTATAATTATCACGTCCAGCGTTGCTAATGCTAATATTATTTCAATATGAAAAAAAACTGGAAGCTGAATTCAAATTAGAATATTATTTTCCCTTTTAAAATCTTTCATTGCTATGAGGTTCAGTAACTGTGTGCGGTAATTTTTTCCCCCATGTAATTTCTACTGTTCCCTGCGTAGCGATGAGGCGAAAAGTGTCATAGAGTGAGGAGGCGGTGTTTCTCTGAATGAGAATGTTTATTTTCACTCTGAACTTGAATTGATCCGTTGGTTTGAAAACCTAGAAATGTACTGAAAAGTTTACTGCGGAATAGAAGACTTACATATATTAAACGTCTAATAGTCCTTTCTGAAATGAAACGTCTTTTGGCCCTAGTGTAAAATGAAACGTCTAATGGCCTAATTATTTTTTGCTCGCAATTTATCTCTTTTAATAATATTTGAATTTGCTAAAATGAGCATCAAACGGTTGATCTGATATTAATTCCAATCCTGCGCGTGCCCTGTAATGATAGTGAGACCACAGCCTTTAATTTTGCTATACTGGCGTAATCTATTAATGTCAGGAGGAGGTTATATAAGCTCTATCGAAATGAGTCGTTACGTATGTCGTTACGTATCCCTTACAAAATTGCTAGAGCGACCGTGGATGTTAATTTAAAAATATTCTGCATTATTAATAGCAAGCATTAAACCACACTATCTTCAGTAACCATTATCATGAAAATATATAACTCGAGTTAATTATTAGTGAAACGAGTAATTTTTAATACATCGTTATTATTATTGTTGTTATTATTAGTGAAACGAGCAAGTTTTCATACATCTTGTCATTGCAATATTAATAGCTGCAATCTCTGTCATAAAACCTACTTGGCATGTAAAAAAACAAAACACAGCAAATACGACATTCCCATAAGATCTGAATCGTCACAAAAAAGTATATCAAATACTCAGAATTTTATTATCGTGTTTATGCTAAATGATGCACCTGTTTTTTTTTTATTTCTTAGCCAAAGTTCGATTCGTGACGTAACTGATTTCGTGTATATTAAAAATCTTGTTTCATTCTTTAATAGTTTTCTACACTCGGTTTGGAGGTTCAAAGAAGGTCAAACAATTGGAAGGTGTCTTGAATAAAATTCATAAATCCGCCGAATCATGAAATGGCTCATAGAGAATTCAATTGTAGAAGGGGCCATATAGATCTATACATTTTATATTTTGTTGTATCCTTCTTTGCTGTATATACTGCCCTATGCTTCTCATCACTTAATCTTACTCTGCTTCCTCATTTCGAAAGTGTTAACCTATACTCTACTAATCACGGAATCAAATATCGTAAACTTTCCAACGAATTGAACAACTTAAATAAACTTCAAAAATTTCGAAGTACGAAATTTTTGTCAGATTTGTTTATAAATCTTCTTTTCATTGTCTAATGATCAAAAGTTCACAATAGTTTTCGATCTTCTCAGATCGTTGAATCAAGTCGATGACTCATCGAATTTTTCTACTAAAATGCACTTGGGTCAAAAAATATTTAGTACACTTTTGTACCTATGCTCCCGCATGCCCTAGACGCACTTGTACACATGCATGGTAATTGTAAATACTCCTGTCAGTCGTGTGTCGAGAATTGAGGGAGCTACGAGAACTACAATCGTCAATTTAGTAATGATTGAGACTCCGAAATTTTTTGTATCTTGGGATTATGCTGCACTGTTAGAAAAATTAACGTTAACGGTATTACCGGCGTTTCAGTGGCCGGTCGGTACGCGACAAGAAACACCGTGTCACCGTTTTTATTAACACTAGAAATCCGTAAAACATCTGATAAAAACGGCGAAACAGTTTATTTGACGGAGCGACCGGCCACTAGAACGCCAGTGGGACCGTTTTGCAAACAGTGTGAAGCTAAATTGTTTAAATTTGTAGAATTACTAGAATCATACTGAGATCGTGCAGAAACCAATTTTGGAAGTCGGAATATTCAGGAGTTTTGAGGAATTGAGTTTTTATGGTGGAATTATACAGAAACTCTATTTCTGTAAAATCCTATGTTAAATTTTGAAGCTCCTTGTATAATATCATTTTGAATCTCAGTATATTTTTAGATTTCGGTCTTTTCTCGGTCGGAGCAGCTGGATGAATTAATGTAATAATTCAAAGAATTAATGAATGCAATAAATTGTTGAATTTAGTGAAATAATGGGTTTAATGAATTAATTTTATCTTTCCGGACCCCAGGTTAAGTGCAAGCCGATGATGAAAATAATAACAGAAGGGAAAATAATTGGCTGGAAATTTTTCCTACAGTTACTGGTTTCGAACCATCGGCTAGCTTCTTTTTGCTTTATTTATGAGAAACAGGTTTAAGTTCGTTAAAGGCTCGTCTATTGAATATAGCATGAATGCATGAGCATTCCTGAAAAAACAATCGCAAGAAAAACAATCGTAGGAAAAACGATCGTAAGTTTCAAATTTTTTAGTACGGCCGGATTAATAAAATGTTATAGGATGATTTAAACATTTTATTTGCAATGTGTGTGAAAAAAGCAACCAGGCGATGTAATCTCTTATTTTTTATTCGATTTCAGCATGAAGATCAAAGAAGCCGTTCTAATGAAGTATTTGATTACTTATATTGTCGTACAAAAATTCAACAAATGGGACGATTTTTGCAATTTTTCATTCCATTCGGTAGTACAGTGAAGTAGTCCAAAATATCCGACATTTTCTTGATTTTTTTTCCGGTATGAGCGCAAAAGTGGGCCAAAAAATATTTTTTTAAACAGGCTGCAACACGACCTCGGCGGTGTACCACCACAAGGCTCCCTACATTCAAGCATTCAGAGGCAATTGCGTCTGCTATTCTGGAAAATTCATCTGCCAGCGACCCGCCCCAGGTAATAATCACGTTATTATTTCCTATAGTGAATGTGCACATTTTTTGGTCCTGCTCTCATAACCTCATTCTTTTCAACCCTTAAACGCTTAAAAGATACTTCAAAGCAATTCTTTCCTTACCTGTATTATTAACTAGCTCTGGCTTTAAAATATTAGTATGAAATGTACGCTGAAGCGCTCCCTTACAGCACTTGCCCATTCCCTGATTTTTGTTTTTGGACACAGTAAATGCTAAGCAGAAATTATGTTTCCATAGTTTAAAATGTATTTGAGTTTATTTTTACTTATCTGAGAGAGAGAGAGAGAGAGAGAGAGAGAGAGAGAGAGCGGGCATGCTAGACCATCGAATTGTTTGACCTTCTTCGCTATTTAATACACGTGCGAACCCAGCGTCTCTGCGACGCTTCGAGTTCGTATACAAAATGAAAACATTTACTATCATTGTACGCAATTCGATTAATGACAGCATGAATTGATTTATAAAATATATTTAACCTTGATACATCATTTAAACTTATGATACCGTTGCAGGATTTTCTGTCATAGCTAGAAATTTTCTTCTAATTATGTAAACTCACTGATAGAAGTTCTGTTCCAGGTTCTTGTTGTACGGGATGAAACTTTATTCTAAAAAAATGCATCAATTCGAACGTGCCAGGAAATTTGATTATTCAACCGTGGCAGCAAAAATGATGTGTTTTATCTGAAAGTTTTTCCCCTTGCTGTGACCGAGACCCGACGATCTAAAATTATAGTATTTAGATGATATTTACCAAATCATTTTGCTCTACACGTGATCTTGGTGAGTGTAAAATTTAACAGAAACTCATATTCTCGTTGACTCTTCAGACCAGTTCAAGCCCGGCCTGGGAGTGTACCTCTTCTTGGGGTACAGTCGAGACGAAATGGACATCCTGAAACCATACACTTTATTGAATGAGCTAGAGGCGATACACGAGATCGAGAAACTCCTCAAAAGGAAGTATGGCTTTAAGGTAAATGCAAACCATTGCACGGGAATATTTCTTATGTTATTTTCAAAAACGAAGATAGTGCATGGATGAACTTGATAGCTACGTATGATTGAGATAAAGTCTTTCAGACTTCCACTATCATTTTAATAATGTGAATGTAGGATTTTTCTGGATATGTGAAGAAGATAATTTAAATGTAGTAATATACAGATTTGTAAAGATGGAAATTTCAACGGAGGATTTCATGGATGTGTGGATTGTGTACAGATGACCGTATAAACGTATGGTTTGGAAAGAAAATAAATTTAAATCTTTGATATTAGTTTAAAGTGCACAACTTATCCATTGTCATGAACGCTTGTGGAATTGTATAAATTTTGTATGAAACATTAAATAAGAAGTACGTCACTTCATAAAACAAATTTCTCTTGCTTACCTACATAAATTATGTATTTTAGTCCAAGTAACGCTAAATAATCGTATAACCTTGCTTAGCGCGTGTAGTTATTTGTTCTTTATTAGTAATTCAAGACAATAATGCACCGAATCACTTCGTTAAAGTTCACTTACATGCATGCAATTTGTTATTTATCTCTTTTTAGTGCATTTTCTCATTTATGGAAAAAATGCCCTAATGTGCTCGCCATGTCCGTCTGTCTGTCTGTCCGTCTGTCCGTCCGTCTGTCCGTGACCTCAAGTTTTTTGTCGACGAGAAAATGCGCTCTCTGTCACTCACTGCAGTGAGTACTGAGTTATATTTTTTTGCAATTTACATGTTTTTTTTCCTGCAGTGCAAACTGACCCTGAAGAAACAGATCGACCAGAACCTGATCCTGATGCCAGAACTGGAGGACGATGATCAGGAAGAATATTCCGACTCCTACCAGAAGCACCGACGAGAACTGGTAACGCATTTATTAGTAGTTTTTTAATGTGATTCAGTGAAGATCAATGAACATTAATACTAAATCTAGGGACAGACCTTGCATGGAGAAATTTAAATGTATTGAACTCGATTAATTTCGGTTTTACTGGTGTCAAGGCTGAGTATCTTTTTCCCAGCAATATTTCGTAGCGAATGCTTTTTCATTAAATATTTCAATTGTCAAAGTTGTGGTGATAACAACACACGTGCATTTTATAATTGAAACTTGTACAAGAAATCCAATTTAATTTTTTGACGAGTGATCCGAGTCTTGATAGAATTTTCCTTACAAACTAATTAATGTCCGTGAAGGCGGACATTAGTAAATATTTTATAAACACACAATTAACAAATATTATCGTATTGCCTTTGCCCAAAGACTACTTGTCCATGGGACACCAGTGAAAAGGTTGTAAATTATAATGAATAATATTATACAAAATGCATTTGTATATTCATTATGCAAAATTATATACAAATTATATAAAATACAAAATTTTATTACATTATACAAAATTATACAAAATATTATTAAATATATATTAAAATATACAAAAATATTTTGTATATTATAAAAAATACATTTGTGTTCAGGACGAATGCACGCGGCCGCTAGAGGAGCTCGCTAAGTGGATCAACGAGCAGCCACGCAACGACAACCTGCACCCAGAAGCCTACTTGTCGATGTTCATCCTGGCCGAAGTCCACGTTAATATATCAGAGGCGCATGCCTCGGGTCTGTCCTTCACTGTCCGCATGGCGGCCATGACAGGTGCCATTATCACCGCCATCGCAACCGTGCCAGTCTCTGCCAGTCTTTACTGGTCATGGGCTGTGTCGCACGCTGACGCCGGCTTCTTCATGTGAAGACTTGATGTGACGCGCGGCATTTACGGCTGGTCTTATCTAAATCGCAGGCTATATTAGCTCGTCACGCAGTCTTTTTCGTTTGGAAATCGGATGCATTCGCATTTGCTGTTTCATAAAATCTGCTATGAATTGCACTTAACTGATTTAATTTTGAATTCAAAATGAAATCTAACATGGCTTTTTTGCGTGATAGCATCTCTTTACTGATTGGAAAAAATTCTCTTGGCCTCTATTTTCCTTTGTTCATTGTTTTTTTCTGTTAAATTTTTCCTAATAAAGTTGGTATTTAAGTTTGAATATTTAGTACACAATCGTTTGATAAAACTGCATCCCTTGGAACTTTTATTGTACCAATTCCTAGTAACATAAAATTTTGAAGACTTGTATGATCAGTGTTTTTTGGAATGAGTTGCGGTTCTGAATAGATTTTTTTCCAATCGCGCACAAGTAATGATAGGCAAGAGCCACGAGGCATCTGACGTTGAATCAACGTTGATTAATGCTTATTTCAACAAATCTGATCGCAATCGACGCTGTTGCAACGTCATTAGTCGAGTGTTAAAAGACGATGATATGGTGCATGAGAGCTGTGGGCTCTCTACGTGACTGCGAAGCGTGTATAAGAAACTTGTGTACCCCAACCAATTGTTTAAATATGGCTCCTTGGCTCTCAAGCGCAGGCAAAAAACTTACCAAGAAAATGTCTAGCATAAAATTCTAGTAATACTTTTAAGTATCCTGGTGCTGAAAATCTAAAAGGGTCTTTTTCGGGGGAAAATTTAATATTTCTTTTCCGCTTTGAAAATAATGGGAATTTTATACTTCATCAATGAATTTTATGAGTTAGCAGGGAAATACCAAAATACAGATTGTACTTGGGAAACCATACAGGCATTTACATTGTACCTTTGTATTGTTCTTATAGAAAATGAATAGATATTGATTTTTTTCATTTATGTGCTGCTGATAAAACGTAAGGGTTTAAGTGGCAATTTATTTTGCTTATTGTACTAGAGTGCAGGCAAATTGACTGTAAATATTGCCATTATGAAATTAAAAAATCTTGTTGGAATCGGACGTGACATTCGGAGAAAGTGATAAAAATAAAACCAATGTATGCTTATTTTAAGTTTAGTATTACTTTAAGAAAATATTGTGTAGACTTAAAATCGTACTACGTATAAGTATTGTCTGTACATACATTAGCCTCTTCTATCCTAAAAATGTTTATATCTCTTAATACGAGTGAAGGATACCATGATTTACTATATTTATTTTTATATGTGATCACTTTACTTTTCTGTGCCATTGTATTTTATCCGTGCTTGGATCGCTTCTCTTGAGATGCGAGGTAAAGTTCGCGCTTACCGTATATTATCTAACTTAATTATTACATATAATAAAATAAATTTTACAAGTCTGATTAATCGAAAAGTTTTGCGATTTTTACCATACAAAAATTTGAATATTAATCGGGAATTTCAGGGAAACTCGGTAAAATTTTCAGTAGGAAGATGTCAGCATTAAGTTTTAGGTCGAGTCAGTAGAAACTCTTTGCGTTTCTGAGACGGCTTTCATAAAAGTTTAATATTATACGTAGCGGTAATTTATCTCTGCATAATCGGCCAGCATGTAGATATAATATTAATAATCTAGTAATTATTGTCCTATGCTGTCTCATGAGTGTGATACTTTCATCTAATGATGTTAATCGTAATCTATTTCTTTGACTTGTCAGGCAGAGTTGGCATGTGGTAAGGTTATCTTTAAGCGTAAGGAAAAGCTAACGATGCATCGGAAATGTTAAAAATGGATATCAGTTTAGCTGAGAGAAACATATCGATTTAGAATGAGTTTTAACGATGAATTACATTTTGCACACCTAGAATTGTTATTCCTGGAGGATTTTCAAATTCCTGTGTAGAAAAGCACAGGTATAAATGATTCAATTTATTTGGTTTGATTTTAATGCTGAAAGTAAACGCAGTAACAATGAGATTTATGTGTGAAACTTCGTTCTATGGGAAAGCTAATGCAGTTCAGGCAAATTATTGTCAGTCAATTAATGTTAGCATTGAACTTGGAGGCACTAAAGGAAATAATCTATTCATGAATTACTTACTATGTAGGGTTATTATCGTGTATTAAAAAGCCGTATGTTATCGTGGAATTTTCGGTAAGAAGAATTTGTTATCTTGATAAACCAGTCAAAAGAAAGGTACCACTAGCAGAATGATGTCATTATTAGAATAGTTCCTTGTATCGAATGATATCATCTTGAGCATATCACCATTCATGGAACGATGCTTCCTGAAGCTTCTGTGCCTGCTGCAAACAATGCTACTTAGACTGCCGCAACATGCAGGCTAAATACCATCACACGCAACTGTTCATCGTACCATGCATGTAGTAATGCTAGAAAAGGATGGAGCTGCACGTGGGCTGTCTCTTATACACATCTAGATGTGTATAAGAGNGTACATGGAACATGGAATAGGAATAGGATTCGCAGGCTAAATACCATCACACGCAACTGTTCATCGTACCATGCATGTAGTAATGCTAGAAAAAGGATGACGATGAGCTGCACGTGCGTATGTAAAACGTACATGGAACATGGAATAGGATTCGAGCCAAGTTGGAGAGGTTGGTTGTTGTATGTCATTGTCGTGTGAGCACCGTGAGCTCCGGCTTGGTTGTGCGAGAAGGCATGTATGCGCACCTTCTTTCTTTGAAAAATGCATTTTCATTTTCATACATTTAACTCCCTATCTGTTGCATTATAGTACCTTTACTCAATGACAGTTTTATGAGAAATACTTTGGTGTTTATCTGTCATTCTTGTAAAATCAGCAGTATAAAATGAAAGTGTTCAATACAAAGTGTACACGGACTATATCTATCTAGAAAGTGCACACAGATTATATCTATCATCGTGGTTATGAAAAAATAAGGCCCTAACTGATTTGCTCCAGATTATTGCAGTTAATAAAAGTTACTTTGTGATGAATGTGCCATAACAGCGCCTGACACGACCAATCCTGTAGCTCACATCCCCTCTGCACATTCACCATCAATGTTTAGAGCTTCTAAAACCTGCGCTTGTGCTGCTACCCTCATGGCCGCACCTATCGTCAATTTTCCAATGAGCTTTTCAGTGGTCAGGTTAAGAAAAGTATATTAGGATTAAACTGGTGAATTATATGTAAGTATAATAAAATGTTCATCTTCTCTTCGATGCGAGTTGGGAAGTTGTTATGGCAAAGAAAAGTCTGAAAAGAATAAACAATATTTATATAATTTCATTTACTAAGTAGGAAAATGGAAGCTGAGTGCAAATCTCTGAAAAAAAAACATTAATTTATTCAATTTGTTGCGGACTGATTGGTGAACGTTGGTAAATGTAGCATTTAATTTAAATTTAATTCTAGAGTACCGGTATACAATTAGTTGCCTTTTATTACAATGATGACATTTATAAATTGATTTTAGAGCTTTGTATTCTTTCTTGAAAATTATGAAACAAATTCGGGTTTGAAATGCACTTGCACGCAATCGGACCAGCACCGTGTTGGGCAGAGAGGGAAGTTGTTGCTGTAATTTTGCATGCCCGCCTGCCATTTACCTGGAAAACTATTATTGTATTCTTTATGAATTAATTACTATTTAACAGTTGATAATTAAAGGCGAATTTCCCTAATTAGATTCTATATTTGCATGTTATCTTCGGAAATTTCACTTCAGATATATACTATGTTGTGTCGAATGCAAATTCTATCTCAATTTAAGGAAAAGTTGACATTTATAGATAATTTCGAGCTGGCGTTACTGACGCATGTTCGAAAGGTTTTTCATAAGAGAATACATATAGATTTTAAAGATTTATGTTTGTTTTTACCATCAAATTAATGTTAAAATATAAATAATCATATATATATTATACGACCCCCATCACAGGCATACGATGGGACCGAATAAAACTATCGGAAACGCTTGGTTTAGTACACGCATTCGTCCTATGAATAATAATAAAATTCCCTNTGTTCATCTTGACTTTCGGTGCGAGATAGCTAAATAGCTGAAGCGCTAGTAAACATTTGGCCACTAAACTAACTAACTTATTGGTATACCTTCTTACATTGTGGGTTAAAAAACTAACGTGAACTAACTTACTAAATTTACTTTATCTTCGCTCCAAATCTCCCGTGTGCGATCTATTAGATTGCGATTCTAAAACGGAGCCGTTTTTAAATTGAATATATATATATATTCGAGAGCACGTTCCATGTATCAATATTCTCATTTAGAATCTGTGTAGCTGGTGTAGCATTTGTGGGCCCTCTCAGCAGTGTAGCAGTAGAATATCTACGTAGAGCAAGCTGGTCTGGTACGTAGAAGATCCTGCATCAACATTCTTCAGCCTTCTACAAATGGTGTGTTCTTCAGCAACCTATTGTGTTGAATGTATTAACTAATTATGGTTGACCGGATTTCTGCAGAGAATTTGCAGACGACAAGTCGGCTAAAACTTTCCGAGGGTGGGTTATTTATCGAGTTAAAAAGTGTCTTTACCCTCAGTCTGGTTCTCTGCTTCCCTCTCGCTCAACCTACCTATATATTTTTCAAAACTAACAGAAAACAGACAAACAACAACTTTTTTGGAATATTGTCTAGAGCCATTACAAAATTTAAATATTAATTTATGATTGTTAATGCATCCGGAGAGGAAATGTTCATTTAGTTGCCGCTCGAGAGCTGTGAAGACAAAGTAATGTTGCCGAATTTTGTTATAATATTTAACAGGTAAGTAGGTAATTGAAAAGTATTCCCTCGTTAATTTTACACTACTTGTTGATTATTTCTTACATCGTAATTTGTGTGACAATATTTATCAAATTATATGTAATGCATGTATCATACATTTTGGGGCGCAATTTAAACTTTCAAATTACGATCACTCATGTTTATATCTTTTTACCTCACTGCCAACGAGAGGTCAGAGTTGAATAAGGGTTTTGTTTACCAACGTGTGACAAGTATTGGTTTATACTCATTTCCACCAATTAAGTTGAATTAAAATTAAAAATTCCCGAATAGAAAGTTTTTACCATGTTTAGGATATGATCAGGCTGTAAGATTTTTTCTAATATATAAAATTGTGAATTTTTAAAGGTGAATTTTTTAATTTATAAATTTCACTTATGTATTAATTTGCATTGAACATTTTACCCGTTTTAGGCTGTCTTTGATGCGTATCTCAAAAGTAGTACTCCTACCGACAACATTAACATCATAATGCATCATCGGAAAGGCCGTAAGTTCTATTTTATATAAGAAGAGGATTCACTCAAATTATACTTACAATTTTTATATTTAATTCAGCACATTTGGAAACTTTTTCCCCCAGACGCTGAATGACTTAAACAGGTTGAAGTAGGAACGAACCTCTTCGGCTATCTGTATACTTGAACGTTTTCTTTGCCGACTCGTATACCGCAGCATGTAAACTTTCAATTTACTACAGTAACGTTTTCGAAACGCTATTTTTCCTCACATTAGCAAACCTTAACAATTTAATGTATCAATTTGTGTACATTTAGTGTCACCATTTCATGTTTCATAAAACAAGTGATGTACATCTCTTTTAGCTTTTGAGGAGGCTCTGAAAAAATATAAAATTTCCTATTTCTTCTACATGTAAGCAGGATATGCTGCTAATCACATTATTAAATCCATTGAAAATAACGCTTATATTCTGTTATTCAGGAACACATACGTCCATACATTAAGAACACGTCCATACTTCAGCATTTGAATTCAACCATTATGGAGACGGACTATATGACTTGAACATGAAAAATTTCTGTTTTGACCAAAAAATAACTTTCACCCGTTATATTTCAATCCAGCACAGAATAAATTAAATTATTGCATATTCTAGTTATTTGAAGTACCAGCGTTAAAACTCCGGTGGGAGCGCGCTATTCGGAGTAATTTTCCTGTATATGTGAATGCACACCTCGTGTACTACTACTTCCTGAAATGCTCTCTGTATGTAAGGCTTGCGACAATTACTTCATGCGGTCACCTCTGTCCGAGAAAGTCTTGTCTGCGAGTCTTATTTTGTCATTACTGATGAGTGACATAAATAATATCTATGATTGTTTTCTCGGTCTTCGTCATTGCCCTATCAAAAATTGACATTTCAACCCAGGAGAATGCATGGACTAAATGGAATACTTCATTCTGACGTTAACGTCTTGTGTGTTGCGAGGAAGAAATAGAAGTGAGTAAATAAGATAAATTTCCAACCACTGTATTTCAACTTGATCAGTATCCGTATAATTTCTATTTGGTTTACCGTACATTCCTATTTTGCATACTTCAAATTAGAGACCAGTTGTAATGATTAATTGATAAGACTATTACATGACGAATTAAAATAACACATTTGTCTCGTACATTGGCAGTTTTCTTGATTTTCAATCGTTTCATCTAAAATTGTAGAGCAATTAACATTTGACTAGGAAAAAACTATACAATTGTATTTATATGCATAGATTGGTTGTTAAAAATATAAAATCGCGAAATAATACTAGGCAAATAATTCCTCAAGCAATAAAGCACTAACCTATGCTTCCAACTACGCATAATTAAATAGACTTATAACGACAAAACTACCACACAATCTTCCCATTCACATTGAAATATACATCTAGTCACAGGCAAATCGTGGTATAAACTCTCGAATTTAAGTGAAGAATGTATAAAAATATTATCCAGCTTGAAAAATATTAGTTTGAAATTTTCTATTAGTATATAAAATAATGTTCTTTAAACGCTTATACAGCATCAAGTTGCGCCACTAGATTGATTTGCTCTTAATTAAGTCATTCTAACACCTGGAGGGATATTCACAAAATCACGTCACAAATTAATTCACGTTTTAAATAACTCTTATCGTTATGTTTCTAGATAAATAGGTAAACAAATATTGGATACTTTAATGGAAACTTACGCTATAAAAGGCACAGAAAAGGCTTATCTATATGATAAGCAAAGATTGTACGATTAAACGCTGTTAAAGTTTCACACTAATACACTTAGCAGAAGACGCTATCCGTAAGTCTTGTATTGGTAAAACTTGCGCACTTTGTTCAGTAATAACTTTATCTTGGCAGAAGTATTTCATTTCATAACTTCATTTGTAAGAGTTTTCTCCAACAAGTATCACATTAAATTGCTAATTTTCGTTTTTTCAGATAAAAATACTAATAGGACCTCAAACTTCAAACATGACTATCAGCTAACAACATTTCTCGAACTCTATTCAATCGGCTTTAACAATGAGCTACAACCACATCCTAATCGATGACTTTCACTATTTTGAATAATTATTTCTAATGGCATTCGGCATCATCACATCTTTCCTAAAATATGTTCCCCAACAGTACTTTCGTTGTCATGTTTAAAAATTTCCTTTCATGCACATGAATTATGTTCACGGCAATAATCCGAATACTTCAATCTCAAGAGATGAATTATCAATGTCAACAAGATGTTATAAATGCCAGTAGAAGTGACCTCGTGTAGAGAAGCAGTGGCCAGAATCACAAGCGTCGCACACCAAGCAGTTTTCCCTCCGTGATGAGGCGGCCGTAACCTTCTTGGTGGGAGAAAGCGTAGCCCGACCGCATTGACTTGCCCAGCCTGTAATGCAACACAAGCGATGATGCAACGCTTTAATAATGGGTGGCCTGAGCTAGAAACTGGCGACTAGTTCAAAACAGCAAGATTGGAATAGTGAGTTGTGGGTTCGGAAACGGCAACTAGTTGTAAAATTAATGGGTGGCCTGAGCTAGAGACGGACGACTAGTTGAAAATGGCAAGATTGGAGTAGCGAGTTGGGGGTTCGGAAACTCAACTAGTTGTAAAATTCTGGTCGAGATTGGCAAGGTGGCCGGGTGGTTAAGACTCGGCAGGCCAACATGGCCTAATTGAAAGCTGGCACCATTATTTTATATTATTATTTTATATAAAGACGAGTCATCGGTGTTGCACTAATTCAGAAATCAAAATGAATACCCAATTTTAACGATTCGCAGCACAGATATTACTGACGCTACAATTAGAGGAGAAATACTGAAAATTCTTGTGAAGTAATCTTGATAAACATTGACGATAGATATATAAAATTATTTTTTATAAAAATTCTCTGATAAGTGTTAAACAAATGCTTAGCTCAAAACTTGAACAACTGAAAACAATGACACTAAGCAGCAAAATTATGGAACTGCACAGCTTAAAGATTTTCAGTCGCTTTCCAAACTTCTGAAACTCATGTATGAGATTCAAACCTATTTTCACAACTTTAAAACCATAAAAAAAACATTAACAAAGCAAGAATTATACAGGAAACATAAATGAATACAAACAAAACTCTGAAACATACGCTCGTCTGCGCATGGTTGATTGTCGCCGGAAGAGTCGAGGCATGGGTCGAGGTTTGGCAGGTTTAACGCCTTTCTTCTCATATTGCTGCTTGTAGCGCACTTTGTCGGAGAGAGTCGGGTGCACGTCCGCATTCCAGAACCGCCAAGCTAGCACTGGCAAGATGACCATGACGACTACCAGCAGCGAACACAAGTAATATCCCGGTTCGCCCATTGGCTGATGAGAGGAAAAATGTTATTACCATTCAAATGTTAGTTCATTAAACTTCATAATATAACCATGTGAACATGGGTATCATTAATTTTTGAACTGATCGCAGTAAACTGAAAGAGTTTTCATTATAGTAAGGCTCTTTAATAATAATAATAAATTCATTATAATAAGACTCTTCATTATAATAAGACTCGTGTAGATTTAGGAACGAGTGGTGAAGAGTGTTACGAAAGTCTATGGAACTTAATACACGCATGTGACTTACAACGTGAGATATTAGTCTACGGACTTTGAACCCAAGATTCAATTAACTTATCTCCATCATTGGCAGATTATTACGTTCAAGTCGTACAAAGAAATGAGCTACGAACTCAAATTTTAGACATTATTTATATTTTTAAATTTTAAATTAACTAATAACATGTTTAAATAAAAACACTAATACATTTCATTATTTAATACATCTCATTTATGAACAAAGAACTTATATAATAGATGAAATGTACGCGTAAAATTTACTTCCAAATTTATTATAACGAATCTTATTCATCTCTCAATGCAGATTATGAGCAGCTCATTCTGCTTAGTTTTCTCACCATCGCAAGAGAATTAACGTAGGCGCCCTTGAAGCCGTGGTTCACCGCATACTGAAGCAGGTAAGTGAAAATCAGCGAGCCCCAGATCGTGATGTGATTGAATATAGTCCAGTAGCCGGTGTCCAGGCAGATCTAAAGAAGAATAGAGGAAATTATTTATGTAAGTGCGTCCATTAAGTCAAAATCATTCATATATTTTAATTTTATTCTGTGTTTTAAATCAATGTTTCCTTGCACGTCATAGTAATAACACGTTGAAGTTCATTGAACACTAATATATTCTGTGATATCCATATTTACGCAAGTCTATCATTAGGTTCCCTATCAGTGTAGTCATCGTTCGTTATATTTTTATCCTCTTGAATTTTTAAATACAAGTAACGATTTACGATCAACCGATTATTTATGTTAATCCGACTGAAATTCTTTTAACAATACAATTGATCTATCCATCGAGATGAAAAAATAAAAATTTGAAGATAAATCCTGACCTGTGCGGTGACCACGATGACGAGGATGGAGGACAAGACGCTGCCGAAGGAGTAGAAATCAGAGAGCGTCAGCCCTTCCGGCGTGATCGAGTTGTAGAAGTGACACGATGACGAGGATGGAGGACAAGACGCTGCCGAAGGAGTAGAAATCAGAGAGCGTCAGCCCTTCAGGCGTGATCGAGTTGTAGAAGTGGCCTGCGCAGAGGCGTAGCATGGTTAACCTTTTCGCGGACTAGTTACCATAAATGGTCACTAAAAATGCGTTTCCAAAAAGCCCAGCTCGACCCCTTGTTTATGTTTGAGGCTACGTTATCATGCATCCGTCAATCTCTAATCATCTGCCCATCTATCCATACATATACTTTACCCGCTGCAATGCCCAGGAATTAAAATATGAGCGTTTAAATGAAAGTTTTGACTCGGACAGTGAATTTGATGCTCTTTCCGCATTTTTTAGGAAGTCGAAAGAAGCAATATTAATTTAATTAATTAAAAGTAGCTCGATAAAAGTAAATCAAATTGCAGCTTGATAGTTTCCTTTACATCAGATTTAATAAATTTAAAAAATTCTATTCCTTTTACCATAGTGATCGCGTTAATATAAAATTTTCATCTGCGATTTTCTCCAAAATGATGCAAAATTTTGGAAAATCCATACTAGTAAATCTATCTTATGACTACATACTTTTTCATAGTGGCTCCAGAAATTCAAATTTCTACACATTTCTATGCTTGACCGCGAAAAGGCGAAGGATTTTTTATTTAATACCAGCTAAAATTAATATATTTGCATGTCTATCCGTTATTAAATTTCATAAATTTAAAATTGAAGAAATTGCGAATTTTGCTGGAATTGCATAATTTCTTTTTATATTATAAAGAAATATCCTTCTATATTTTATAGAATGATTCATTTACTACAATTGATTGGATGTATAACTATCATCACTAGACAAGTTTGGTTAGAACGAATACCATTTGTATCTTGAACTTCTTTAGAGTTTAGTTTCACTGACTATCTAATAATAGGTCCGATAGAAGGGTCAACAAGTCTTAAAACTTCTCAAAACCTTTCATTTGGAGAAATTGTAAGACTTCATAACCCTACTATCGGACCCTTGATTGGACTGCTAGATAAATAAAACTCTAAAGAAGTTTTAGATGAAAATAACATTCGTTCAAACCAAACTTGTCGAAATTAAGGGCTCTACCCTAAATATACGAATTTTAAACCATCATTAGTAAACTCAACTTTTAAATTTTAATAGTCAACATCTTCAGCACATTTCATTTAAACAAATGCAAATTTTTGACAGGTACTAAACCCACGAAAAAATATCGCAGTGATTCACATGACTTCTAACCGAAAATATCGACATTGAACAAGTGAATGAAATACAGAATCAATCCAACACAAGCCAACGTTTTTTAAAATTAAATATTTTTTTTGCTGTTAATAAAAATGCAAACGTTTCAATACGACAACACTCACCATAAACTACAAAGAAAAGGACGCCAGATGTCAAAACACCGTGACCCGCAGAGCGAACGAAAATTTTCTTGTTGAACCAGCGATTCTCGAGGCCTGGCGTATACAGCTTTGGGAACCGCAGACTGTAGTCCTCGTTGACGTCTTGATCGAAGCTGCCGAGTGCGAGAACCGGTAACGCAGTGTAGAACAAATTGTACGCTGAGATGAACAGCGTGTCGAACACAGTCTGTTGAAAAATTGCATTGAGTTATATGGATATGAACAGTGAGTCGAACACTGTCTGCTGAACAATTGCATAGAGTTATATGGACATGAACAGTAGTGAGTCGAACACTGTCTGTTGAACAATTGCATTGAGTTATATGGATATGAACAGTGAGTCGAACACTGTCTGTTGAACAATTATATTGAGTTATATGGGGATGAACAGCGTATCGAACACAGTCTGTTGAACAATTGCATTGAGTTATATGGGGATGAACAGCGTATCGAACACTGTATGTTGAACAATTGCATCGCGTTATATGAAGATGAACAGCGTGTCGAACACTGACAGTTGGACAAGCGCATTCAGTAGTATGGAGATTGGCAAACGACAAGTTTGATTTTAAAGATCACTGGCTTTGTTACTCGACTTGAAATAACAGGGCATCAATTAAAAGAACGTAGTTGTTAACTAGTTTCAGTTAATTGCTGAAAAAATGCTCAACTTACCTGCGCCGAGAACCCCACGAAGAAGGCATACCAGAAGTGACAGAATGCGAAGGCGAAGTTTTTGTAGAAGAAATACCTGAAAAAAGAAGCACATTTTTTCAGAAAAACGTATAATTTTAATTATCTGTTTGTAATAATTTAAGTATTTTTTTGGAATACCAACATATAGGGATACATTTTTTCTGAGTGAACCAACACATAGGGATAGTCTCAGCTACTGCGCGGGTGTGAAGTTGACAATATTCCTCGATTTGGGCAGAGACCCACGTATATTAGCGATAATCATCTGTTAAAACCTAATTCAAAAATATAACTCAGTAATCACTTCAGTGAGTGACAGAGAGCGCATTTTCTCGTCAACGAAAACGTGAAGTCACGGACGGACGGACAGACGGACATGACGAGCACAATAGGACATTTTTTCAATAAATGATAAAATGCGCTAAAAAGGCGAAACCCACATGCCGGAAATTATTAGTCACTGCGCAGGTGCGAATGTAACATATACATATATCTCAACTTTGGTGGAGATCCAAAATCATTTGCGGCAGTTATCGATTAGTCACATAATTCAGAAACGACTAAGCTTATAAAACTTTAAAGCGTTAAAAGAGCGTTAATATTCTTTTTATTAATTAAGAGCGTTAATTAAAAGAAGAGAGCGTTAATTAAAAGAAGAGTGCCTTAAAATTTTCACTGAACTCACGTAAGGAACTTGCACATGCGGTAGTAAGACCAGCGTCCATGCACCAGCAGCAGTCGTTCCAAGTACTTGAACTGCGCTACAGCGAAGTCCGACGCAAGCACGGCTTGCATGCCTTCGTGGCCTGAGATGCCTACGCCGATGTGGGCAACTGAAATATATGTGAGTGACATTTTTATTATTAATGTATATTTTAATGTGTATCAACGATTTAATTTTATTGCTGATGTTGAGATCGGTTTATTTATTAGGTATATTATGAGTTATACACTTTCAAAATTCATTATAGAAATTTAGAATAAGTAAAAATGGCACAAAATAATAATCACATGAGCTCAACAAACTAAAGTATTTTATTCTTCAATATACACCTCGGAATATACAATTATTATCATGTCCCAAAGTAATCAATATTTATTAGGAGTTTGAATAAAATCACTATCGGTCGATTGTGCTAAAAAACTTCATTTCGAAGATTATTTTCGTAAGTGTAAGGGAGACAATGATTTCTTCTAAAATAATTTAAGCCGAAAACGTGCCTGTCATTCATCGCGTTGTAACGCCACGTTAAATATTCCCGCGTACTATTTTTATTAACGTTAACTTAATTATTCTTAATTACTTTTAATCATGGAGACGTCGTTGGCTCCGTCGCCGATGGAGAGCGTCACTGCCTTCTTGTAGCGCTTGACGAGGTCGACCACCTTGGCCTTCTGTAGAGGCGTCACCCGGCAACAGATCACGGCGCGACCTGGCCCAACATAAACGATCGAAGCTAGTTTCCATGTCGCAACTATATATAAATAACGCAACTAGCTTTCATGTCGTGACCAACTACAAAAATGGCAACTAGCATTCATGTCGTGACCAACTACAAAAATGGCAACTAGTTTCCATGTCGTAACTACGTACAATAATCGCAACTAATTTCCATACCGTAACGCAGTACAATAATAGTAACTAGTTTCCATTCTGTAACTTAGTAAAAAATCGTAACTAATTTCCATATCGTAACTCACGACAAAAATCGTAACTAGTTTCCATACTGTAACCTAGTCCAAAAATCGCAATAAATTTCAATGCCGTAACCTAGTACAAAAACCGCAAATAGTTTCCATATCGTAGCTAATAACAAATAACGCAACTAGTTTCCGAATCGTAACTAAGTACAAAAATCACTACTAATTTCCAAATCCTAACTAAGTACAAAAATCGCAAGTAGTTTCAACATCGCAACTAGTTATAAAACCGCATATAGTTGCCATATCGCAACCAATTTCTATTTCGTTACTAGTTACAAGAACTACATCTGGTTGCCGTATTTCATGACTAGTTGCTGTATCGTATCTAGTTGTATTATCGGACATATGTGATGGAGACACAGACCAACCGGTGCAACGGTCACGATTGTTATTATGTCACGTGACGAAGACTAGATAATAAACGATCGTTACTGCGCAACTTATCGTTTTGAAAATGCAGTCATTTTCATCCATGGACTTATCGTGCCAATCACAAACTTATAATATGACATTAAGTTATGTTTTTAGTGGAAAAAATGAAGATGATAATAATTCAATGGTCATCGTAATCTTGCGTTCGTAGAGAAAATTTCAAAAGTTTTTCAGATTTTCAAAAAAAGACTACGATATCTTAAATTAGGAGCGATAAATTTACGGGAAATAATGACTTTACAATCTAAACTAAGTTGTAGTTTCCTTTCAATATTCATCATGAGGGATCCACAGAACATTATAAATCGATATACCTAATTAAATAATTAGATTGTGCATAATTGTTAGAATGTTCGAAGTGAACGAAAAAACTACCTCATAATAGAAATCCTGCATTTAATTTTCATGCTTCTCTTTCCGTTATTTAATTTTGGTCGTAAATTTATAGAACTCGGCCATGAAAAACATGAAATCATGTTATAATTTCGAACTCATTTACATCACCTTTCTACCTAAAAAATTTAAACGTACAAACGCAAATCATACACCAATTGATTCAAAATCATTCAGCCGCAATGTGTAGCCACAATTATTCAAAAATTAAACCACAATGAATATAATGCATACAATGAGAATGGAGTATTCATAATAGAATATAATTCACCTAAAAACATTATTTGTAGGAAAACATAATAAATTTCCAAGACCAACTAACACTGCGAGGCGACGGCTAGCAGCAGTTCCTCCATGTCGTCTTGCAGCGCGAAGACCAGCGAGTGGCCGTTCACTACCAGCGAGTGGCCGGTCTCTCCCTCTCTGTGGGGAGTGGGCACGGTGAGAGAGTGGGCAGGGCGAGAGAGAGGGCACGGCGAGGGAGAGGGCAGGGCGAGGGAGAGGGCAGGGCGAGGGAGAGGGCAGGGGCGAAGGAGAGGGCACGGCGAGGGAGAGGGCATGGTGAGGGAGTGGGCACGGCGAGGGAGAGGGCAGGGCGAGGGAGAGGGCACGACGAGGGAGAGGGCATGGTGAGGGAGTGGGCACGGCGAGGGAGAGGGCAGGGCGAGGGAGTGGGCACGGCGGGGGAGAGGGCACGGCGAGGGAGAGGGCAGGGCGAGGGAGAGGGCAGGGCGTGTCTCTTATACACATCTAGATGTGTATAAGAGACAGGTCTTCCTCCGTCTCGCCGTCCACGATGATCGGCTCGTGCATCTCATCCGTCAGCAGCTGACGAATAACAAGGATTGTTTATTTTATATCGTGCCTATACACTCAGAGAAATTATTGTCCAAATAGTGATATCGTGTCCATACACTCAGAGAAATGAGAGTTATTGTCCAAATAGCGATGCAGGAGTCACCATTTGGACAAGGTGTGCCGTTCATTTGTCAGGATGTATCGTGGATCCACGTGAAATCCAGAATTTTTCACCAGAATCAAATGATTTTGATTTTGTTGTCATTTCTATCAGTGAGAAAAAATCCAATTTTCTCTAGGAAAATTATTGTTTCGCACAGTTAAATTAAAGTGTGCAATCACAATCATATTCACAACGGTTGGAACATGATTATGATCAAATATCGTTGTTTGAATAGCTAACGTGAAAATAAATCCGCCTGTTTTAAAACCAGCAAAAATTGTCCAACAGTTTTAAAATTCAAATACGTATTCGAATAAGAAAAAAAGCAACAAAGTATAGCAATATTATATAATTTATCACATGGCAGGAGTAGCCGATGTTGATGGCGGTCTCTTGCTTGTCTCCGGTCAGGACCCAAATTTTGATGCCAGCAAGAGACAAATTAGCGATGGCTTCAGGCACACCTTCCTGGAGCTTGTCTTCGATGGCTGAAGCTCCTGGAATAATCAAAATTCTTCAATTATGCTACAGTCGTAATAAAGAGAACAGATTATATTAAAAATTATTAAATATTACAATAATATTAAAGATTACAATAATTACAATTTAATAGTATTAAAGATATTAAAGATTACAGTCACTTATTTGCTTAAATCGCAAGTTACCTAAAAATTTAAAAGCAAAGAACAGTCCACAAAAATTCATACCTTTATAGAAGACGTTTCGGAGTCCTGCTCCATTATCAGTTCGTAGAATCTTGAATTTACATAGAACGTCACATGTTAATACAATTGAAAGCAATTGTATTGTAGGCTCTCAATTGCATGTAATTGTATGCTTTCAGTTTTATTTACATGTGACTTTCTATGTAAATTCTAGATTCTAAGAATTGACGATGGAGCTGGACTCCGAAACGTTTTCTATAAAGATATGAATTTTTGTGGACTGTTCGTTGCTTTTAAATTTTTAGTATGCCACTGTCGTAAATAATCAAGCTTACTATGACCATCGTTATCTCAACCAATAATTAAGCAAAAAAACACAATAACTAAGTGTATCGGTGAAATTGTGTGAATATCACAATCGCAATCATTTTACTTACTGATTAACTATCATAGTTATCGAGCTTGTTCAAAGAAAAACCTTCTAACTTTATTTCATTTAGTAAATGAAATTCGTTGACTCGTTTTTCATTTCAAAAACAATCAAAGCAGTCAAAAAAGGGAAAAATTTCATAGATATCAAACGATTAAAAATTACCTATCAGAATGAGATCCTTCTCGATTTCCTCAAAGATTGCGTCTACTTTTTCTTCACGGTTTTCGAGAGATGTGGCAGCATCCTGGTATCTGTTCCACCAGTCCTGAAATTTAAATGAAATGTTTTTTTTTAAATTGGAGTAGTTGTTAATTAATTTGATTAATATCTGTTTCCAATCTGCATCTGCTTCCAATTGATAAATAGAAATTGTATGTATGGCTCAAAAGATTGTATAACAAGTAGACCGTAAAATTTTATTTATAAAATTTAAACAATGAAGTCAAAAAATATAAAAATTTTCAGATGTGATGTTGAAACGGTGTCTTCACAAGTATCTTTGGCATCATCATTCCGGCTACAGTGCGGAAAAATAAATACAAACATAATTGAGCATGCTTCAAAAAATATCATACTTACCGCGTAATACTGCTCGCTGAGATCCTTATAAGCGAGACAGAGCGTGCGCAGACCTTCGCCTGCGTAACTCTGATAACGATTTCCTCAAAGATTGCGTCTACTTTTTCTTCACGGTTTTCGAGAGATGTGGCAGCATCTTGGTATCTGTTCCACCAGTCCTGAAATTTAAATAAAATGTTTTTTTTTAATTGGAGGTGTTGTTAATTTGATTAATATCTGTTTCCAATCTGCATCTGCTTCCAATTGATAAATAGAAATTGTATGTATGGCTCAAAAAAATTAAATAACAAGTAGAACGTACATTTTTATTTTAAAAAATTTAAACAGTGTGGTCAAAAAAATATAAAAATTATCCAGATCAGATGTGATGTTGAAACGGAGCCTTCACAAGTTTCTCAGGCAACATCATTCCGGCTACCGTGCGGAAAAATAAATACATACATAATTGAGCATGCTTAAAAAAACTCATACTTACCGCGTAATATTGCTCGCTGAGATCCTTATAAGCGAGGCAGAGCGTGCGCAGACCTTCGCCTGCGTAACTCTGATATGGAAAAAAATATACGTTTAAGCGTAAGTCATGCAAATTATTTTTTATTGCAGTCAGACGTACACACCCAATAAATCAGCTAACTAACAAACTAACAACACCAAACAATCGAATAAGTACGATATTAAGTCTCACCCGCATGTTTCAAATTATAAAAAGTATGAAATTGAAGCCACTATAATTTTAAAAACATTACGAGCAAATTTTTATACTGAATAAACAAGGCGAATGCTTGGACCATCAGATGGAGCAAATAAAATGTCGGCTCGCTAAACAAACTCACATCAATATGCTCGCAACGCTGAACAAACTCACATCAATATGCTCGCAACGCTAAACAAACTCACATCAATATGCTCGCAACGCTAAACAAACTCACATCAATATGCTCGCAACGCTAAACAAACTCACATCAATATGCTCGCAAGTAATACTCTTGATCTCTTCTTGGTCAGCTCTCAGGCGCTCAAAGATGATCGAGTCGGCGCCTTTGCAGAAAAGACGAAGCTTTCCGTCATACCGGATCACCACGGACATTCTTTTGCGAACGTTGTTGAAGTCAAGGATGCACAGCAACTCGTGAGTCTGTTCTTCGCCGTTGATCTTAAAGAAATGTTCAATCAAAAAATCATCGAGAAAAAAAATCATCGAAAGGGAATTATGTATTAGACTTGATTTTCGCATTAAAATTATCCGATATCGATGTACAGCGCAAAAATAGCATTGTAGGTAATTGAGTTGAAATTAAGAAAAGAGCTCGATTATTTTCGCAAGTACTGATAATATCATCATATTAATATCATTAATATCATAAAATGAATACTAATGATTTTATTCATTAACACTTAGAGCGAGCATATTGCACTGCGTATTTTCACTGTAAATTCAATTTGAACTAGTCGTATTCACCACAGCAGTGATGCTGTTAGGAGTCCGGGACTTGAAAACGAAGCCGAAGTTCCTGGCCGCGGAAACAAGAGCGCTCTCGTCCGGCGACTGCGCTTGATACACCAGCTTACCTGAACCACGTAATCGAACGCGTCAGACAACGAAAGTGACAGAAAACAAATCACGAAACAAAGAACGAAAAAAATCTATTGCATACCGAAACCAGATAATAATTCTTGAATTAAGTTATGATCAAAAATTAAGGAAAGGCAGTAACCAATCTCTTTCCAAGAGATAAGCTCCGATGAAAAATTTTACAGCAAAAAAAAAAAACTTCGAAAGCAACTGCATCATGAGCCATTTACACAAATGAAAGTCAGAGTGAACCATAAATTCAGGTAGAGGTTAATCCCAATCAAAACAAGATATTCATCAATAAAATTATTAAACAGAAAACATATGCAATTTATTATTTTTTTCTGCTGAGAACAGACCGTCCTCCTCCTGCGGCATGACGGTATGGCAGAGCGCCAGTAGCAGGAAGAACGTCTCGACGTGCGGGTCGTGAGTGCGCAGGTCCACGGTGAGTTTGCGGTCGTAGAACACGAACGATGGTTCCGAGTATGGGTTGCCGGAGAAGTCAATGGGCTGGTCGTAACCCTGAATACATAAGGCAGAATAAAAGTTTTTTTAAACGAATCGGTTAGTCGTAACTCTGCATACATAATTCACTGTAAAAGGCGTCAAAAAACCCTTAGAAGTCATTGGGTTCGTCGTAACCCTGAATACATAAGCCAGAATAAATGTTTTAAATTATCAATGGGTTATCGTAACCCTGCATACATAATTTACTGTAAAAGTCGTCAAAAAAATAGAAGTCATTGGGTTCGTCGTAACCCTGTATACAAAATCCATCATAAATGTTTTTAAAAAATCAATGGGATAGTAGTAACCCTGCCTACATAATTCACTGTAAAAGTCTACAAAAAAACCCTTAGAAGTTATTGGGCTGGTCATAACCCTGAATACATAAGCCGAAATAAATGTTTTTGAAAATCAATGGGTTAGTAGTAACCGCGCGTACAAAATTTACTGTAAAAGTCGTCAAAAAAAAAACCTTAGAAGTCAATGGGCTGGTCGTACCCCTGAACACATAAGCCAGAATACTTGTTTTTTAAAAAATCAATTGGTTAGTAGTAACCTTGCATACAAATTTCACCGTAAACGTCGTCAAAAAAAAATCATTAAAAGTCATAGGGTTGGCCGTAACCCTGAATACAAAATCCACCATAAACGTTGTAAAAAAATCAATGGGTTAGTCATAACCCTGAACGCAAAATTTCCTATAAAGGATCGCAAAATAATTTAAGATTGGGGTTGAAATTTTAAGCGATCAACGATGAACACTGAACTTTTCGTAATTTTGATCAAGCGTAAAAGTAGATATGGGATGGGAAAATGCCACAGCTTAAGAATTACGAAAGAAATTTGTAGCTAAAAAATCTCATCAGAGCATCAAAAGTAACCAAATATTTTTCATTCTGTATAATGAAGGCATAATATAGAATAATTAAAATAATATGGAAATAAAATTTTACTTAAAAACTTAAAAGAAAATTAAAATTTCGCTGCCCCAAACCTCGAGATCGTCGTCCACGTCGCCATAGGACACTCCGTTGATGGAGCATTTGTTGAATGTCATCACGTTCTGCGGGATATTATTTCGGATGAAAAACTATCATACATGATAATATGTAACGAATAATAATAAAATATTAGAATAAGAAACAATCATTTATTTGTATTTATAAGCATTAAAGAGGTGGTGAATTTTCATTATCGATTCAGAGACACAAAAGCAACTAGAAATAATGAGTAAAAAAGTAAATTTTTTGACTTAAAAGATTTTTAAATATTTTGAATAACGTTACAAATTAGGAAACACATATGCATTCTTTCAAGCAATTGCTTATTTTCATCAAATAGAAATTAAAAAAAAAACATACTAAATATTGACGCGAATAATGTTGATGTCTCACCTGTGTTAGAGTACCAGTTTTATCAGAGAATATGTACTGAACTTGTCCGAGTTCCTCGTTCAGTGTTGTGGTGCGGGCTTTGGCGTAGGTTTTTGAAGGCATATAACACATCTTCTTATCCCAGTTAATGAGCAGACTTTGGAAGAGACGGATCATCTCCACGCTAAATCCAAATAATAACGGTTGATCTTTATATCATATGTAAATAAGAATGCCATAATAATAGTAGTATCGGGATTAAATAACGGTATTAAATCAAATTAAAATATCGCATTTAGTTTTAAATCATGTATAAATACCGATGTTTGTCTGCAAATGATACATAAATATCGCATTTAGTCATTAAATCATAGAAATAAATATCACAGTCGGTCTTTAAATCACACATAAATATCGCAGTTGATCTTAGAGGTTATTCAAGTGATGCAAATTTCGCAGCAAAAAAATTTTAGGTATTAATGAGATTGAATGGAATAAGGGCTTTGGCGTAAGTTTTTGAAGGCAAATAACACATCTTCTTATCCCAGTTAATGAGCAGACTTTGGAAGAGACGGATCATCTCCACGCTAAATGCCATAATATAGTAATATCGGGATTAAATAACGGTATTAAATCAAATTTAAATCCCAGTTAATGAGCAGACTTTGGAAGAGACGGATCATCTCCACGCTAAATCCAAATAATAACGGTTGATCTTTATATCATATGTAAATATGAATGCCATAATAATAGTAATATCGGGATTAAATAACGGTATTAATCAAATGTAAATATCGCATTCAGTTTTTAAATCATGTATAAATACCGACGTTTGTCTCTAAATGATACATAAATATCGCAGTTAGTCATTAAATCTTAAATAAATATCACAGTCGGTCTATAAATCACACATAAATTTCACAGTTGATCTCAAAAGTTATTCAAGTGATGCAAATGGATATTGTCAAGATTTAGCAGCAAAAAAAATGTTAGGTATTAATGAGTTTGAATGGAATACACAGAGAGTATGGAAAACTCTGACAACGCAAATCGACGAATTAGTAGCCATATGCCCTTATTGATGTACACATGTATTCATATCATTAATAAGCTTTCATGGAAAAGTAAGCATGAATTCACAAGCAGAGAAAAGGCCACGAAATCCTCGATATTCCCATTCTATGAAAGTGCCATGAATTTTCGTGGCATTCTCAATGCTTTTTAATTATTATTATTGTACACAAAAGTGTTCATTGGGAATTATAGTGTACAGTAATTTTACATTAAATATAAAGCAAGACACGATGACGTACCTGACATAGATTTAGATTTATGATCAGGTTGATAGTTTGTATTTAAAAAAAAAAAAGTCTTTCTCCGGGAGCTTTTTGTACGTTTTTGTACAATTTTACCGCGCATTTTATTTTATTATTTAAAATTTTAAGCTCATTTTATTATTTTTAGCGCATTTGCGCATTTTCTCATTTATGGGAAAAATGCACTATTGTGCTCTCCATGTCCGTCTGTCTGTCTGTCCGTCCGTGACTTCAAGTTTTCGTCGACGAGAAAATGCGCTCTCTGTAACTCACTGCAGTGAGTACTGAGTTATATTTATTTAAATATGGAGCAAGACGACGTACCTGACATAGAGCGAGATAGGCACGAAGGTGTTGAGCAAAATGATGTACGAGAAGAAGACCAGCGATGCCGTGACTGCGGCTCCCCGATTCTTCTCTTGAGGAATAACATCAGTCCATGGCAGGAATACTTGAAACTTAAAGCCTGGTGCGAGAGAAAATAATATTATTTAGATTCAATTTGGGCTGATTTTGCAGATAATGAAATTTTTGTAGGACTTTACAAGTTTGTGCATCTTTGAGAAAACAAATAATTTCGTATCGCTGGGAAAATTTTCATTATCTTCAGGCTTATTTGACGGGTGACCACTGAAAATTCTCATATGGACCAAAATTACTTACAACAATTAGTCATACCAAGTTAAAATTCGGGCACCCAAAATTAATTTTTGTATTTCACATTTTCATGAGAGTTTTTAATTAAATAAGTTTACCGATAGAAAATATCTCACCAACAATGCTTTCCCATATGCCACTGCCGAGGGCACAGAAGAGACACATCACCAGAAGGAACAGCAGGATCTGGTGTAGCGAGTTCGATTTAAGAATGAAACACGGTCCGTAAATATTAAAATCACTTGTTTACTTGAATCGCAAGTTAACCAGGAATTTAAAAGCAAAGAAAACACCAATAAAGTATTTAAAATAATAAAGTATAAAGTACCTATTTTTAATACAAATACCTAATAAAGTATTTTCTTTGCTTTTAAATTGACGGTCCGTAAAAATTAACATTTTCTTCAGTTTATAGTCATTGCCAGGAAACGGGAGCCAATTAGGCATATAAATACTTGATTCATTGGTCTACTCACATCCTAAGTTACCTAATAATAATTTATAAGCAATAAAACGCCAAATAAAATCACCATTTCATCATTGATAATGTCACGTGAATCGACGATTGCGTGATGAATTTATTTGCGTTTTAGAAGAAGTTGATTATATATTTTAACCGTTCGTTTAAAGCGCTCTCGAAGGAAAGAGATCTAAACCAACAGTTTTTTGTAATTCGAATTAATAGAAGCAAAATAACAGTATTCAGAGGCCAAGGTGAAGATTTTATAGGTACGTCTAATAGACTCTTTCTGACTTGCCTCTCGCAAACCCCGATAGTTTACGTTTGATCTAAACTTACCGTAAGAAGCAGACAGGCGTAAGCGCAAAATTCTTCGTCCCTAGCTTTCCACTTTACTTCGTTACATTCCATTCGTACGTATATATGCTACACAATTTGCACGAAAGACACAAGCGATCAATTTCCCATTATTTGCGCGAAGCTATTGAATATATTTAATTTCTTAAAAAAATGGCTACTTACATTTCAGGCTACTTGAACGCTTGTCATTATTACTACCTATGAAAGCCGACAAAAATAAACTTACATTTTCCCTACAGGTATCGGTAAAAAGCAGAAAACAGTTATTTAAAACAGTATAATGGTTCCGAGTTATTAATATTAGCATTCCATTACTTAACATTGGCATGGCTTCAGAATGTAACGAAATTAGATTGAATTCAATAGCAGACATGAAGAATCGAAAGCTTCAAGCACGAGATCTCTCAAAATTTGGGGCAAAAATTATTTCCCTTGATGTAACGATGATCATATGTATCAAACACTCAAGAATGAGTGTACTCAAAATCAATTTGAACGAGTAAATGAAAAATATGAACTAGCGCGCAACTAGCTTGGGTGTCAGAAAGCGTAAACGCTTTCAAAGCATTTGTCTGTAAGCAAGACATACCCCGAGAATGATGGTGTTCAGAAGTCTGTCCATGCTGGTGCGTTTGAAGAAAGATTCTCCAGCGTTCTGCATGAGCTTGGTTTCAGCTCCAGCGAAAAGCACGACGCAGTAACACCACTCCGTGTTGCGTAAAATGCAACCTCGAAGCAACACGTTCTCATTGTCTAAAGAGTACCTGAATACAGATGCAATACTTTTAATACTTTTAGCCTAAGCAATATAATAGAAGCACGACTTGAACAAGTTGGAACAAAATTATTTACGCGGCTGAAATTATTGCCAAGTTGGAAATAAGTTAAATCATTTTCTTCAGATCCAGAGAGTGTGTAGTGTTGAATGTTAGTATTGCAGATATTAGTAAGATTGATAGAGTGAGATCAATAAAGTCCATGTTTATATTATTATTGACATTGGCATCATATCTCACTTTTTTCCACGCCATGTAAGCGTGCCTTGGAACTTGGACAGGTTGTTGTTGGGAGGCTCACACACAACCTCCCCGTCCAGAGCGCTGATGAGCTCCACGTTGTCATGGAGCTCGGTGAGGTCAGGCTGACACTGCTTGCACTTCAGGTTTGTCTCACTGGCAAAAAAATTTTTGTTCAAAAATTGTGTAATAATTTAACACGTTTAATAACGAATAATGGGTGTTAAGTCAGGAGATAAAATGCACTTTTATGTTTTTCGAAAGGGGAGAAAAATCCAAAAGCGAAAAGATATATTTTTCATAGAATCGAATTATTCTGTTTTTTCTTAGCTACCTTAGAATATAAAAATTTTCAAATTCCTATGAAAACACTTCCAGAAAAATAACATGAGTTAAAGTCGCTTGTTTGTTTTAGAATTTCGAAAAAATATTTTGCAATATTTTAGGTTTGTTCACCTAAGTGGGGGATAAATTCAAAACTTGCCGTTACGTGTTGCAAGTGAATTTCAATGTCACAAAAATTAGACATCGGGTAACCCATGACTCACCCATCGAGCTCGGACGTCTCAACAAAGCAGAGGCCGTTAGCGTCCGACGTGCTCAGGAGTAGCAGGTCTGCGGCCACGAACTCGTTGCTCGTCATACGTATTATGTCGCCCACCACAACCTTAAATACAAATACATATAATTATTGTAAGTGGCTAGATAGATGCACTCAAAATTTGTGGGGAAATATTGTGTCGCCCACCACAACCTTAAATATATATACATATAATTGGAAGTGGCTAGATAGATGCAATCGGCAAAATACAATATAAATTTTTAGTGAAATATTATGTCGCCACCCACAACCTTAAATATATACGGTATACACATACATATAATACATAGATGTCGTAAAATTTGCAGTTAAATAAATATAAAAGATGTAAGATGAATTTCACAAACGAAAAAACAATATGGATTTATGAATCTTGACATGACGTGACTTGTCTTTACATTAACCTCAAAGAAAATATAAAGTAAGAGACTATATGAAAAAGTTCTATAAATTCGAAAACAAGAGCAACGTAGTTTGCTAAGGAGTTTAGAAAAACTTTTCGATAATTAAAGTCAAAATCAATACTACACTCATTTTAAACTTACAAAGAGATATTTTTACATTCTAAATCGAATCCTGGAGGTACTTAATTTATTATTTACATTTTTCCATAAGACTTCTTCCATGACGCCATTCCTGAGCACCTGCGAGACTCGGTTGTTCACTTGTTTGTCGCTGCGATGTCTTTGCTGAAAGAAAAAAATCTCAATGCTTTTCTCGTACCCTCTAAAAACATTTTTAACTTTGTGCTACCATGAACAATACACAACGATAAAGGTCAGTACGCAAAGCAGTCCTTAACAACAGCGCAAATGCCTCGGTTCAATTTTATTCCTGATATTGTTGAAAAATATCAGCCCCATGAAAAAAATGTTTAGATCATGCAGGTTTCTCTGTCGAAGAATTTAACGATATTTAGAATGCACGAATGAATAAATTCATTTTTTGCCGTTAAGCAAGTGTGCACAGAAAAACTTCAAAAAAATTCGACTCAATCGCGGAAATAATCATAAACTATAAAAATATCACCCGAGGCAATAGCCGTAAATTTGAAATTGAGTGAAAACAATTTTAAAATTATTTCGTTCTGATTTTGCATTTTTTGTAATTTCTATTAAAAAGTTTGCGATGTAAACTTTTAATATGCTTTTAAAAATATGTTTTTTAAAACAATATACAAGTTACGGAAATTGGACCCTAAGCGTCCAGTGCTTGCAACCTCGAACATACAGCCCGAAATAACTGCTACTAACTGATGATTCATCTAAAACCATAAATCGAGAGCTAAATTAGAAAAATTAAACTTACCAGCCACTTGTTGGCCGAGATATAAACACTTCCTTATTAATTGGTGCCTTATTACTCATTAACTGTCGGTAATTCGTGAACTTAAGTTGACCCATCAGTAACTCCAACCGATAAATGTCAACTTTCTAGACGGAGATTCGGGGCTATTCAGAGGTTTGAGTTTTAGTTTAAAAGTATTCGATAAAAGTTGTGGGCACGGATAGAAGGAATTTTCATATATTGCATAGACTTAGTTTCTAATATGAGTCAGTACTACGCGCAAAATATGCTTCAAACTAGCACAAAGTCTCGATAATTTCAATGTCATTCAATTCGGTATTTAGGCAATGTTCAGCTATATACACTTAGAACATTTAATAATGATTGTGTCTAGATAGAAACTCCCATCAGCTGTTCAACAAGTTTTTATCATTACTTTCCAGGCACAGTTTCTTAAAATTTTCCTGGTTAAAAACTTAAAATATCAGGCTCTGAACATTGCTGGAAGAAGAATAGCGCGATGACACGCTACCTGAAATTCTAAACTTGAACAAGCAAACTTGACTACGCGTGACGCTATCGTCGAACGAGAATAAACTTGACTGGCTAAAACTAAAATAAACTGAATTGTCTAAAATACTATTAAAAGATAGTCGTATGAAAACCTTAGAATATTTTTTCATTTACACCAGTTAAAATGTCCTTAAAATTACTACTGCTCATGTGATTGAAAATATTTAATTTAAAGAATGTCTGAACAAATTAATGAATTAAAATGTCGTGCACAACAAGGAACATTTGATACAAACATGATATCTGAGAAACTCTTGTTGAATACTAACAATAGTTACACTTGAATCACAAAATAGTGAGCTAATTTCAGCACTAATTTTAAAGGACAGGAAGCAATATATAAGTTTTTCGCTGGAACTAAAGTTTATTCAGAAATGAACATTAACGATACTTATCGTTTATTTACAGTTTCCAAATCAATAGGTTCATCCAGGTCAATTCATGGACAGAAGTATCTAAAAAATGCATTAACTTGACGGAATTAGAGGCCCATAAAAAACCTTTCAGTGTACAGAAGTAAATAATTTATTGATCTTTTTCAACAGGAACTCTGCTTAGCTTTGAATTTAATATTCAAATATTAAATTTAATATTTGAATAAATCCCTGACTCACTCACGTCACATATATAGTGTTTTTAGCTCTGGTAAACCGAAATAACTTGCAAGACGGATCGTAAACATGAAAATATTGGATGTGTCTCGTAATATTACAATAAAATAGTTTGTAAAGATTTATTGCAGCACAGTATGCGAGCATCAATAGCTTTAAAAGATGACAAATATTTTTATTCTGTCCTTAAATTTGCAATTGATATGATGTCTAAATAATGGACTTTATTAATTGGAATCTAAAAACTAGACCATCATTGAAAAAATCGTGATGAAAGACATGAGAATCAAAGTTAACTGTCGTCGTTTAAAGTGGCAAATTCAGCATTTAATTTTTAAGTGAAATCAGCATTAAATTTTTAGGCGATATCTTAAGATTCAAATATTATAACTCACGATGTCATCATAAGCGTCTTTGATAACCTAGTTTTTAACCGATTTTAAGTTTCAAATAGAGGTTTAGAATAATTGATTGTTGGTGAAAATTGATTATTGCAGATTATTTTTTGTTTCCAAATCCATAGAAATTTAGATGGGAATTCATCAGCCATTCATTTAATCTAACAGGAATTAATGATCTAACATTAATTAATTAATGTCAGTGAGCATAAATATTATTTTAACATTTTTATGAATATGTGATTTTTAAACTTCGATTTCTTTGAATTGAAATCTTGCATTAAAATAAGTCAGCCTAACTGTGATAATTTCTCAGTGTCATTAGATTTAACGAAGCTCCTATAAGTTTTCTTTTGCACCAGCATACTTGCGACGAACAACCGGCCAATAAACATGTACATTGAGCGACATCTCAATGCTGAGATTATTTTTCTCATTTCCTCACTGACCGGGCGAATTGATCACCTGAATGTGTTTGCTATTTTGCGGCTCTTACAATATATAGTTGAGAAATTCATGCATACGTTGCAAAAAAATCCCTTATCTAACAAGCGTTCCGTCAATCTATCCTTCTGTCCATCCATCCTTCCCGATTAATGTATCTTATTTATATGCGTGACGGATACGGGTTATCTTCGTAGTCTTTTCAACTTTTCTAGGGGCCTACTTCTCAGTTTCGAGAGAAAGAATATTCGGCAATGTAACTGGCCTTTATAAATGCGAATCATTTGTAACTGCTTGAAATTCGCGAGGCTACCTAGCTATAGCATTGATTTTGTTTCTGACTTTCTTACCCATGCTAATCTTAAACATAAGAAAAATATGAAAACTGGCTTATATATCTGATTAATGAAAAAAAAATTTCGGTGGCATTCAGCACTGAAATCACTCTTTTGAAAAATATTACAGTATACATTCATTTTCCTTGTTTTTTTCTTCTATTTTTTTCTATTTTCTTAATTTGTTTGAGCTGAGGTGATCTTAAAATCAGTCTCATTCAGGATTTCTATGATCAGAAGTGTCCGTTGTAGACATATTCTTTGAGAACAGCAACACTCGGACCATGGAACTCAGTGGAAAAGTACTGAAACGCGCAACAGTTTTTACCCGACGTCTTTACGAAATTCTTCAAGGAACCCTACTTGATTTGAAGACGGGGAAGAAGCGACCTCTTCATCTCCTCCACAAGATTCTCCCTGACGAAAAGTTCGTTAAGAATGGCTGGGCACAGCTTGACAGATTTTTGGAATATAAACAATTTTTTTATCGATTCTTTTATAATCAAAATAATTTAAAGTTTCCGTTATGAAGATCGTCCTAAAGTAACTATTATGAAGTTCCCACATACGCTTGAAGCCATTGGAGAAACTGAAAATATAACTTAGTAGAGCTAAATCGTAATAAGTACAGTAAAGTGCATTGAAAAATGTTTTACTAAAATTTGTTTTCCCGTAAGATGATTTTAACGCAATTGTTAAGGTTTCCTGTGCCTCCTGCGAAAACATCTTCTACTGTCGGAGCTCTACTGAATGGGGACTGAGGTTACTGCGCCAACTGCAAAAAAGTTTGTAGAAATTATTAGTAACCTGTAATTAAATTCAAGCTCCTAGAATTCCTGCATAATTACTCGCAATATATACACTATTTAGTTCCACACGTTTAGAATCAACATCAAATGCATTTAGGCTTTATGTACCAACGGTACGACCAGTTTCGTAAAAAACAAGGCCAAATTGCATATTACTTGAAATTGATCTGTATTGTAATGCTTGCATCTTTTGCATTGTCAACAATTCACCACGGAAGGCAAATTACATTAGGATGCGATTTGAGTTAGCATGTCTCCAAAATTGCCAACTGATGTTCCCGGTAAAATGAAATTCGGCACTCAAACTCTCCCAGAGTTGTTCTTTCACATAATTTCATGTCGGAAAAACATGGAATTGAGATTATTTCTCAATGTTATACTCATCCTAAGATTTTTCATTTCCAATGTACCTATTCGATTACGATCTTAAACGAGGGTCTACTGACCGCAATTTGTGAACAGGGTTTAAAAAATGAATGACATTGACGCAGATCAGTGTAATGTATTAACGTAGCAATATGAGTTTCCAACTTCTACTTGCAACAGTTCACATCACTATCAACTAGCAAGACTCGTTTCTAAGATATATTGTAATCCATTGTAGAAATGGTGACATTGAAGAATTTTTTCGTGAAATTGGGGTGGTTGGTATGCGAAATAATTNCGTCGTTTAAAGTGGCAAATTCAGCATTTAATTTTTAAGTGAAATCAGCATTAAATTTTTAGGCGATATCTTAAGATTCAAATATTATAACTCACGATGTCATCATAAGCGTCTTTGATAACCTAGTTTTTAACCGATTTTAAGTTTCAAATTTTTTAACTCACGATGTCATCATAAGCGTCTTTGATAACCTAGTTTTTAACCGATTTTAAGTTTCAAATATTATAACTCACGATGTCATCATAAGCGTCTTTGATAACCTAGTTTTTAACCGATTTTAAGTTTCAAATTTTATAACTCACGATGTCATCATAAGCGTCTTTGAGAGCCGAGAGAGACAGGACTCCGAGCAAGGGTAGGATGGTAGTGATGGGGTTGAGGGAGGACACCACAGGAATGAGCTGCAGGATCAGCAGACACAGGAAGTAGAAGTTTGCAAGACGCGTGAACTGCTCGTACAGGTTGATGGGTAGGAACGTCACGATGTTGTACTTCGACGTCTTGATGAAGTTGTTCTGCAAATGACGTTAAAATCAAACGCGCTGCATTTAAAATTTGACAGTTAATTTAGTTTATCAGAAATTTCGTTATCATTCAATAGATTAAAATTGATATCGCTTTTTTTATTATTACTCGTACATTCAGTACAGGTAATTGCAATTTGAGGGACTAGTGAGGTATATTCTGAGAAAAAATATGATAAGTGCACTTCCGGAGTATATTCGTAGTATTAAAAAACTGTAAAACTGAGTCTCAAAGTTAAAAAAAAACTTTAATCCATGTGATAAAAAACATATATAAGATTTTTTATGTAGCATTTGTGTACTAATCTACTGAAATTAGTACCTAGTCGAAAAAAATTGTTATCAACATTAACAAGAAAAAAAAATCAACCAAAGCGGAATTTATCCAATCAGTGACATTTGGTTGAAGTACGAAGACTAATTCGTAAGACTTTTTAAGAGCATGAACCAAGTTCTTATTAATATATAATATATATCGTCATGTATTTAATAAAATATAACCATATTGATAATAATATTTAGTAATATGTCACGTACACGCTATCCACACAACGTTCTTAACTCACCGCGTATTTAAAAGCGGCGTTGTAAACGTCGTCGTTCATCCGAAGACGCCGCTCCGTTTCTGGAACATCGAACGGATTAAGAGGCGGATGAATGAATGGATATAATCCTGTGATATATTCCTGTGAATAAATAGCATGGAAGTGGGAAGGAAAATAGTGTGGAAGATAAAAGTAAAATAGCATGGGACAGAGAATGAAAATAGTAAAGAAGAGGGAAGGAAACTAATAAGTAAGTGGGGAGGAAGATAGTAAGGAAAAAGGAAGAAAGATAGCATGAAAGAGAGAAGGAAAATATTATTGAAAAGGGAAGGGAAATAGTATTGATGAGGGAAGGGAAATAGTATTGATGAGGGAAGGAAAATAGTAAAGATGAGGGAAGGAATATATTACTGATGGGGGAAGAAGAATCGAAACGAAGAGGGAAGGAAAATAGTAAGGAAGAGGGAAGGTGATCACAATAGACGAGTGGGATGTAATAATATAGAGGAGGCTGAGAGAGACGCGCGGCAGGCTGCATGCCTCGTCGCTCGCCTCGTTGCAGCGGCGCTGGTAAACAGCCGCTGCTTGTTGACCTGTGCGTGCAGCTAATTACGTGCACAGCTCAGGCACAGCTCGAGGGAAGCTTGGGTACACCTCCAGCACTGTTTGGGTACACCTCGAGCACAGTTGGAGTACAGCTTGAGCACAGTTGGAGTACAGCTTGAGCACAGTTGGGGTACAGCTTGAGCAGTTGGAGTACAGCAAGAGCACAAATGTAGTACAGCTTGAGCACAGTTGGAGTACAGCTTGAGCACAGTTGGAGTACAGCAAGAGCACAAATGGAGTACAGCTTGAGCACAGTTGGGGTACAGCTTGAGCAGTTGGAGTACAGCAAGAGCACAAATGAAGTACAGCTTGAGCACAGTTGGAGTACAGCTTGAGCACAGTTGGGGTACAGCTTGAGCACAGTTGGAGTACAGCAAGAGCACAAATGGAGTACAGCTTGAGCACAGTTGGGGTAC